TAAGCAAACAACCATCACAATACACAAAAGAACAACATACATGTTCAACGGTCTTCGCCAGGCGCAACAGCAGCGCCTTCTCACGCGACAGAACACACGAGAACGTAAATTCGTCCGGCGACTGACCAAGTTGAACATTGCACTCCGCGTGTCTCGTTACTCAACAGGCGGTTTGATTATGACGGCATTTGGACGGCGAGTAAACGCTACCTTTGTTAAGCGCTCTCCGGGATTTCGAGGTCTACTGCGCAGAAACACTATCATTTTTCGGTTATAGTGCTCTCCCCTTCTTCGAATTCTTTTAGGTGATTTTTGTTAGTTGCCTTAAGATCTAAGGAAGGATTATAGACAAAAGATTATTTACGAGGACAAAGGAAAGAAAGATTCCCAGTCTCACGGCCAAACAACCGACCTCTGAATATTGAACAACGCGGTTGATTTCAGCTCAATAAGATATCAATGCATTCAAAAAGTAGCATATAATAACGTAATAGTAAGGTAACATTTTAAAAACACATTTTTGCTATAAATTCTTTAAGTTAGCACCCACTTTATAATTTTTTCTTTAATTATGCTAGGTGAAATTACTAAGTACGTCTAATACACATTGAGGACTATTTTTCCTAAACGTTTTCCGTTTGTTTACTCACAGAAAAAATTTTTTATAACAGCATGAATACATTATTTTGCGATTATGTACTGCTTTTGAAATGCATGGTTAGCCCATTGAGCTGAACTCAACCGCGTTGTTCAATAATTAGAGGTGTCACGCCGGCCACACTCCAGGGCATCGAGCTCTATTCATGCCTTGTAACTTCTTCTATTTGTACTCTTTTAGGCCTCCACAACAATTGGTGTATTTATTGTCTCCTGTCTCCCTAATTCTATTATCCACTTTACGCTCTTCTACTTCTGTTCGTCTTGTAACCGTGTTCTCAATCAATCCTTCAATGTTTCCTCTCTCCATCGCACACTTGCTCCGAGTGTTTGCCTGGATTGCATGTCTTGCGCTGACTCGTCAGTAGTCCATCGTGGTGCCAGAGCAAAGGGTGCTAAACACGAGTACTTTCGTTAGCGGAAGACGGCCTCTGCGAAGGTGCGTCTTCCTGAACCTGCTGACAGCTACGTGGGGAGCGTGTTGAAAGCGCATGTTAACGAAGGCATGGCCGCATTCAAAGTCGCATGTGTGTGCAGTTGATGAGCTGAGTAGCAGTACGGAGGTGCTGACGTCGAAGGCGACGACAGCAGCAGCGGCGGATGCAGAAGCGGTGCCTCCGAAGAGACGCGGCGTTCTACGAAAGGCGGGGCGGGCTTCTGCGAACCGTCGCACCAAGCGGTCCACGTTCTCGAGTGGGACCGACAAGGTGGTGTAGCCTGAGATGCCTGTGGTTGTATTGATAGAGAAGCTGTAGCCAATCGTAGGAACAAGCGAATTCGTCCCTGCAGAGAAGTCTGTCCATGTGCGTAATGCTGCAGCGGTGAGCGTGAAGACGACATCAACGATTGTCGCGACGTCTCTACGTCAGAAACTGAGGTCCAGATGGGTACGGGGTCTGTGTTTCTGACTGTTTGTGCGTTTGTGTACTGGCGCGTTTTGTGTAGATGACTTGTTTACAATGTGCATGTACAGTGTATGTAAATAATTTTGTATGAATCTTCTTTTCTATACTGTAAGCATTGTGAGATTAAATCTGCCGAGTTGGGTAGTTTGTTGAGTATTGGAGGTTTTTGAGACGTGGTGATGTTGAAATGGATGTAGGGTGGAATTGGTGCATGCGGTGTGTTAGCTCGTTGATTTGGAAACGTTGCTAATTGAATTGTAGTGTCAGTGGGCGTTACTTTCGTCTGCACTGTGAATCGTTAACAGTGAAGCATGTGGAGGCAAAACACGTAGCTTATTGTCAAGTCACTTTGGATGGAAGTGGCATTCAAGATGAACTCTAGTGCAATGGAGTTGATGGAGTTTGCGTTTTGCTTAGATTGTTTTATAATCACGGGTTTGGGTGTGACCTGTTAATCGACATCTGTAGATGTGAATTCTGCAAGCGTTTATGCTAGTCCTTGTCGACAATGTATCGAGTATTGACGTGCACAAAATCGCTTTCACGTAGGGTTGTTTTGCATGAGCCAGTGTTTGCGTCGGTTAAGAAGGAAATGCATTTGTAGGAATCGAAATAATGCGAAATGCGTCACAACAGCTGCACGTCGTTTTGGGTTATTAGTTAGCTGGTTACAAGTATGGTCACAATCAATTCTTGAAAAGTCTTGAGCACAGACTGGGCCAACATGAGTTTTAGGAAAATGGTAATTGTGGAAGTTAGTCAGGATGTGTGACGTAATTGAGAAGTGTGAGGTCTCAGCGGGTGTTTCCGTCCCCGAAATTCACTCGGGTTGCTAGTTAAATGGACACATTGGAAGGTTAAAGGGTTGAATTATGTGAGGGTGGCACTTGCGGTTGAATTCCGTGTTGGCTCCTCTGTTTTGTCACGTAAAAGACGCCTGATGTGAGCATTTGATTGTTGGCCGGGAGCCACGATGTTGAGCTAGACACGTTGTGGAGGTGTGCTGCGCGTGTGAGCGATTTTGACCACTTTAGGGAACTCGGTCAAGATCAGTTCATGCCTGTTAGAACTTGGCAAATATGAACGAAGTCCAATCGCAGAGATTGGAGGGGGGACTGCGCAAATTGTTACAGCGTTCCTGTAACCAGTCAGTTGTCACGTTTGCGGAATGGGTGTCTGGGTGACTTGAGAGCTTGGAATCCTTTGTATGGGTATTTGCAGGTCTGTGCTGTGTCGCCATGACGGCATTCACATGAGCACAGATGGTGTTGCTTCGTTGGATGGCTTGTCTGTTTAATTGTGAAGAAAAGCAGTTGGCTTAGTTGTGGACGGCAGTTTAAATGCTAGTCCTCTTCGCATGCGATGCTGCAAATCGCTTCCCATGAAATGCTTTCTGTTTCATTGGCTAAGGTACCAAGAATAGCGCCTCTGTGTTCAAATGCCTTCAGAGCTAGTTGTGTCAACATGGCTGGGGTGGGACTTAGCACGGAGTAAGGTTTCAACACGGAGTTCCTTTGAGGTGGTTGTTAAGGTGATAATTGCAAGGTTACAATTGGACTTGGAAAGACAAATGTTACACACACAATAGGTAGTGTTAAATGAGTGTAGAAGGGGCAGGAGCTGAAACTGCACCAGATAATACTTAAGACGGTTATTTAGATCGAACAACCTTTCTTGAAACACTTAAAAGCGACGTATTCAGTTGCAAGACGATGACGCCAGTTTAAGTGGTAAACCTCGTCTAGCGATGTTCCATGCCATTGATAATGGCTTTATTCACGCATTATAACCAGAGATTGCCGAGGGACCAGCTATTGCCAATTCGACAGCATGTTGCCATTTGACGCAGCTTGGATCCATCTCGCAACCCGGTACGTCGATGTTCCGTAAACTTCGACAGAACGGAGCAATCAGGAGCGTGTTTCCATCGACATTTGCATTCTCGTCTGTCAACGATACGATCTGTGCAGGAATCGATTCACAACCGGTGATGAGGGATGTCTACATCTCCACGCCGTAGTAAGAGAGTGAAGCTGGAAGCATGGAGGTGAAGCAGCTGAATTTGTGTCAAACGCTGATGTGCTGGTCTGCGTCTGGTGAGGTGTTTGTAGGAAACTTTTATTTGTACAAATTTCATCCACGTTGGTTTCGTAACTGTTGGGGATCCACGATTCCCCAAGATTGGTTTCTGATTCTATTTACATTAATTTATTAACATTTGTATTTTTACGCTTTTATCAAGTCAAGGTCAACATTTACTTGAATTAGTTTCGTTTTTACTTTCGATTTCACTTCTTCTCTGCACGTGGCTGACGTGAATAAAGCTCTCTACTCGAGCTCTGGTCTTGTTCTTGTATTAGCCTGGGAAGGTCGGTTCTAGCTTTCAGCGAGGGATCTGGTACCGTTATTTGAGTAGTCTTCTCTATTGTTACGGGCAAACGTAACAATAACAGGCACGAATTCTTGTGATGGCAAAAATTTAATATTTTATTCTTTACATACACTCATAACTAGCTTCCGTTTGGCCAAACTGAACTGCTCTTTTTCTAGATTTTGATTTGCCTTCTATGGCGCCGGATAACCCATTTGATTTAATAGCCTCTTTGTACTTACCTCTTTGTGCGCAGTTTTCGTGTGCATGGAGTAGATTGTCTTTTGTTTGAATAAATATTTAAAATTTAGACCATTGATGCTACCCCAAATAGTTTTCCATTGGTCGCAAATTTCCTCGAGTACTTTAGCGTCCACTGATGGAAATTCAGTAACAACTGAATTGTTATTATGCACCAGAATTCCCACCTTTTATATGCACTGTTGATTTTATTTGTCCTGGTGTGATGCCCACTGATTCCCACTCGTTAATCCGGTTGCTTCAGCAATCCATACATTGCACCCTTTTCACGCTATGTCGTCAACGCCACTGTACCTAACAATCCGCCCCATTAGCGGGAACGGTAATCCCAATGTTAGCGCATTTACGACTCACGCTGTTCCACACACCTGAGCTATGAATGTGCCCGCGCAAACGCCACACACGATGCAATGAGCTATGAAATGAACAGTCGTGTCCACGTCCACTCCGATCTTCTTCTTCTTATTCATCACGGGTAGCAAGGTAGTGTGATCGGGCCAGATTTTAACCCGTTGGCCCAGGCATGGTACAAGTTTATATGCTGGGGTCCACAGCTGTCCCACTCGAAGCACTACTCAATCCACGACGAGATGGATCAAGCGTCTTGGAGTGAGTTGAGGGAGAGTCGGCTGAACTAACACATCATGAGCTGTGATATCAAAAACAGTGTTTAATTCCAATGGCCATTATGCAAAGACATACCACAAGTACAAGCCAAACTTAAAAGTACAAAGCTGGGTAAAAGAACATGTAACCCCGTGAATTACTAATGAGCAGAATTATTACTGTCAGTGTGGATTCCGGTGTTGGTAATTTCCCCATTTCTATATTCGTTTAAACGAATCAAGCGGAGGAAAATAAAGAGGCTAACTGATGAAGTTTGCGTCTCAATCAGTTGTAAATCTTCTGTTGAACCTACAATGGCTCCCATGCTATGATGCGTATGTTAAAAACAATCGTCGACAGTGGAGATACGCCTTGCTCGTTGGGCGTCCTGTGTTTTCGACATGTCCTATTGCTGTTTCATGGTTTCGAACTAGGCAACCTGAAACCTGTTTTTAACTCTGTGAGATCATCACGGTTGAAAGAATGGGTCAATCATAATACGCACTCGATTATGGTCTCAAATGATCGTCGCTAATTGAAACATCGAGCGTAGTTGTCCTAGACCACTGAAGATGTGGAAGATTGTTCAAATTAGGACGACATTTTTGACTAACCTAATATTATACCGCGTTGGTTTTTTGTGAAATGTGCCAGTAACGACGACATTTTCTGCTACCAAGGTAAAAAATATCGTTGGTAGATTGCAAAACCCTCAGCGCCAGCAGTGCATGGAGCCACGGGGTGTGAATGGTATATTGTGTTAACTTACGTCATTCTAGCTGAAGAGGGAAGTGTATCACAGCCAGTTAAATCGTCAATGCTTCACTTGAGAATGTGTGTCGGGCGGCGGTGGATAAGATTTTTGGAAAGAGAGACCACATCCCACTACGACAGCCAGGTGTTTGCAGCATCACGGAGACGGCCTTACTTTGGTGAGCATCTATTTGTGAAACAAGCTCCGCATAACTCCTTATCGCCTGTCATGCTATTTTTATTCCCATGGTAACAGTTAGCTTCGTGGGATTATTACTCCCTAGGTAGGTCAGCGTAGGATGTGGAGTATGACGCGCGTGGCAGTCGACCAAACCAAGACGACGACGCTAGC